ACAGATAGAGAAAGAGAGGCAAACAGACAGACAGACAGACAAACAGGCAGAAAAACCGACAGACAGACCCACAGACAGAAGGACAGACTGACAGACAGACATACAGACAGACAGACAGACAGACAGACACAGAGCATCAAATGACGGATATGCCATTCTCTCATTGCTCCAAAAACAACGAACGCTGCCCGTGTTGATTAGCCGAGGGCAACATCAACTTTATTAGGTGAAGGAGTTTAAATATCTTGCCAGCACTTTTTTCTGAAAACGGGTCCATAGACAGAGAAATAGAAATGCGAACTCAAAAAGCAACGCTGTCACCTACCAGCTCGCACCCCTCCTATCTCATCCAAACATCTCCATGGCCACAAAGAGAAAGCTTCACCTCAATATTCATACCGATATTATGTTATCAGTGCCAGACTTGGACTTTAAGCAAAACCCATGAAAGCAAAATCACCGCATGCGAAATGAAATTGATTCGCCTCCGCAAAACCCTTAAAATCACAAGACGAGACAGGCAGAGAAATGAAGAAGTAAGAGCAGCTATCGGCACTGAGTCCAGCCTGCGTACATGGAACGACAGAGGATAAAAATATGATTTGGCCACCTGTTACGCATGTCACCCGACCAGCAAGCCCCAAGTGCCTACAACACCAAGCACTCAGGCTAAAGGAAGAGGAAGGCCACGCAAAAGGTGGATCGAGGGTGTCAAGGAAACCCTAAGAAAACATAACATCGCAGCTGAAAGAGCTGCAGAGCTGGCCTACCATAGAAAACTGCATCTCCCCTCGACGCTTAACGGCAACAGATGATGAAAAAATAAAAGTATTACATATAATACTATAATGTAATTATATAACCGCGTTGAAAACATTCTCGAGAAATGAGTCAAAGGCAAAGCAGTGAAACTAACCGTTATGGTCCAATATTCAGTGCCGTCGTTACAGAGAAAACCATTGCATGATAACTTTTTACAGGGTAGGGGTGCATAAAAGAAGTTCCTTTGTTTCATGGGGTATCAAAAGTGTAATATCATGCTGTATGAGCAATTAATTGCAAGCTGCCAGGAACAATAAAACTAAAACGTTCGCTTTAATACGTGTATTACTGACAATGGATGTTTTAAAAGAGACCTCAAATTCGATGTAAAACAATTTTATATAGTGGTGTTCTACCTGCCCGCCCTTTCCGTGATCGACTCAAAATTATATCACTCAGGAGGCGGGCTTTGACCTGCCCAACGGAAAGACAGAAACGCTCGATATACATTCTTCCCATAAGCGAATCGAACTCGGATCTTCTGCGTGTGACGGCTAAGAGCTTAATAACCACTACACTATAGACGATGAAGTTGTACAACGTCTATCTTCGATGGGAGCGAGCAAAAGGGTTGAGAGCCTTGAAAACTCCACAAAACAACTCCAGCTCAAGAACGCCTAGTCTGGGATTCGAACCAGGACCATCCGCTCCACAGTACAGCATGATTCGTGTTCACTTTCTTTTAAGTTTGGTGTTTTTACACCGGCATCAACACATTCAGATGATTTAGAAGGCGGGCATGTCATTTTCGCAAAATCAACAAGGTACTAAAGGAGCAAAACCAGTTGGACATTAAGAGATTAAGGCGATTAAGTTTTCTCAATAACCAAACTAATATACACACCAACGAAACCAAAGTTCTCCCACAAGTAGGGCAAGGCCCACTTTTGGTGTTAGCTAGTTTTAGTAAGAGATATACGGCACTCGCAACTGCATAAGGTCATATGAGCGCCAGAAGATTAGAGTTGTTACAAGAGAGTAACAAACGCAAAAAGGAGGAGAGATCAGGACAATTAGATATTCGATAGGAAAGAAGGAACAAACCACACCAGATCACCTGTCAACCACCCGCTAACACCCACTTTGAATCTCGTTTGTGGTCATGAATTGGTAAATATTCAACGCCCCAATAAATACTACAATAGGTTATTTTACAGTCGGGACCTCCGAGTTTAACACCAATCTCTGAAAAGACTGACAAGTACATTTACCATAATAATCGCTTTTAAGGACGAGGGGGCCATCCCGGCCGAAAAATGCTGTAGGGAAAAAATCGAAGTAAAGTATTTGCCCCTTGTTCAGCTTTTTTAAAAGACAAGGAGAGTTTTCTCAATAACCAAACAAATATACACACCAACGAAACCAAATTCCCCTACAGGTACGGCAAGGCCCACTTTTGGTGTAGGTCAAGATTTCTGGAAACCCCCGAAATCTGGGTTAGCCCACTTGTCCTTAACGACGAATTATATTAGAACACCCACTTGATTGCTATTGCAATGTCCATTTATTATTTTAACGTCTCGACATGCTTAAATCACCACTGCAAAGTACATGCTATATCTGAAAGCCCACTTAGATTACAATAGCAATGTCCATCTAATAACATGTATAATATATTAGAACATTCATTTAGCCGACTTTGAAACACAGACTTAACTGCTTTGCTACGTCAGTCCACCCAGCTGTCCACAAACAAACACACACACACACACATACACACACATAAACACACACACGCATGCACACGCACGCACGCACGCACGCATGAACGCACGCACACGCGCGCACATACACACATGTACACACACATACACAACAAGCACGAATCAATCATATTATAACCGCAGAGACAAAAATACGTCATACAAAGACAGACAATAAAAGAATATATACCAACCACGCATGGACACATGCGCACACACACACACACACACACACACACACACACACACACACATCAA